ATCAATTTGTACTAATGTACTTAATTATATATTATTGAAATAAAGGACTAGAGGAAAGACCTCTCTTAAAAAAAAAAAAAAAAAAAAAAAAAAAAAAATTGTTTGATTGTATTAAGTAGGTATAGTTGATTGTTACTAAATAGAAGCTTTGGTTTGTTTGATAATGTTTCCAAGTTTTTTAAGATAGAAGTGTAATTGTGATGTTTTTGAAGAGAATATATGTTGAAAGTTGTGTACAATAAATTTTTTATTTGAAATGTATATATGAATAGCAGAAATAATACTAGTAGATTTTGTGCCAGGTTACCTTAATAAAGACAGTTGTTTGAGTTAAGAAGGGAGTATAAGTTGATTTTAGATTAGATAAAAACTTGGTCAGTAAAGTTTTGCCAAAGTTTTTATTCATGTTTTTGTATTGAAATATTCTTCTTTTAGTGTTAGTAGCAGCTCTTTGTTTGTCTATAAAGGCATAGAAGAATTCTTATATAGAAATAAGAATGTTATGAGCATTACAGATACTAGTATTTGGATCATTAGTAGCATATAATATGAGGTAGCATAGTAAAGAGTAGTTGGCACAAATATAATCAATACAGCTATTGTATCAATTATTATGCCAAGTAGGTGTTAAAGTATTAGTATGAGTGGTCAGGCTATACATATTATTATGCTGTAAAAAATAATAAAGTTTAGATTTAATAAAAGAAGATTAAGAGTTATTAGTTGCATTAAAGTTTCCTATGACAATAGATAGTATATTTTTATACTTTGCTTTTTGTATCTATTGTATAATAGTATTTTGGACCAAGAGTTTAAGTTGTAAATCATTATATAGTAAATAGGTAGATTTGATATAAAATTTAAAATCATGTTTAAAAAATAAAACAATAGTAATTGTATAAACATAAAATTGAAAAATGTTGTATATATAAAGTTTAAGGTAATTTTGTATCATAATTGCAGTTTTAGCTTTAAAGCTATTGCAACATAACCAATAATAAAAATAGTATAAAAATTTTGTAATTTTATAGTTGCATTATTTTGGAATATTTTTGTTTCAGTTATATCAATAATGTTTATATTATAAGATAGACAGTAGACTTCTCAAACTTGCTATTTAAGATCTTTATTATATCTTCTTACATTATTTATACATATTTTTAAGGATAAAGATTGATAGAATGTAATTGATAAATTGAAAGAATGAAAGATATTATGAGAATATAAAGGGTTATTAGTTTTATTACTAAGATTAAATGTAAAGAATAAGAGAAACTTGTCTAAAGATGCTAGTATAGAGAAGACTAGTGTTAATATATTTAATTTTAGTTAAATGTCAAGTAATGTCAGATAGCTTGAACTGATAAAATGAAGTAATTAGATAAAGGTTTAGATTTAGATAAAGGTAAATATAAGCTTCACTATAGTCATTTTTAATAGAAATAATTAATATATAGGTATAGGAGTTATTTGATGAGTAGTTGAAGATATAAATATGTCATAGAAAGAAAATAATAGTTTGTAGATGGAAAAGCAGTAGAAGGTTGTTATATAATAAGAATTTGTTATAATAAGTATTAAGTTGAATATTGTTATAGTATTGTTTGAATATAGTAGTATTATTATGACTATTTAAAATAGTATCTACTAGTTGGAAATAGGTATAATTAAGTTCATTATTCTTAATGATTAAGTTAGTATTTGATGTATTATTATTTATTAAAAAAAAATTAGAAGGAATAGATATAGATAGATAGTAGATAAAACTTGATAGTTGTAGAAAGAAGTATTTAAATAAGAGTTGAAATTCATATGATAAGTGTATATAATATTTACTATAATCAAGTTTTATTGATATTTTGAGTATATAGTTAAAGTTGTTATATTGAAAGAAGTTATAATAATAAATATGTTTTAAGAAGAAGTTAAGTGTTTATAAATATAGAACTAAAGATAATTTAAAGCATGCTAGTCATTGATTATAGCATAAATCTGAATTGTATAGTATATTGTTAGGTAAATCTTGTAATGCTTTCTCAATGTAAAATGATAAAATAAGGTTCGAGAAATTAGAGCATTCTTTTATAGTTTTACTTAGCATATGCTTAGCTCTCACAGCTGCAAAGAGTTCTATAATCTGCTCTGTACATTGAATCTGATTATTATTAACTTGGTTCACTATATAAATGAACTTAACCACCTGTTTACTTATATTATTCTCTTCTGAAAATGGCTTATATTTAATAAAAAATATTGTTTTTATAAGTATTACAGAAGATTTTATTGAAAAAGTACTTCTTTATTTATTAAAAAGAGTGACTTTTCAATTGAAATAAGTGTTTTAAATTTAATATTAAATTTGTTATATAAGATTGTTTCTGTCTCTATAAAGTTTTTTTCTTTATAGAATATAGTTATTACAGAATAATTTGAAAAGTTGCCTTATGTGCAATCAAAGTATGTAATGACTCAAGCTAGAAAATTAGTATTAATAAGTTTTGCTATATGAAACTTGATAGTTTGTTATTTATCTATTTTGTCAATATTGTTTTAAGTAGCAGTATTATAATATAGAGATAGGTATTAATAGAAATAGAACCTAAATAGAGAACCAAGTTTATGATGGCCAGACTCAACATACAGAGCAGGCTATGGCACTCTTTGCAGCTGTAAGAGCTGAGCATATAGTGAGTGAATCTACAGAGGAACCTTTTATTTTCTTGAACCCCATTGCATTATCACACTTCAAGAAAATATTACAAGACTCATCAAACAATACAATACTCAATCCAGATTCATGCTACAATAAATAGTTAGCCCATCAAAGCCTATACATCCACAAACTCTTTATTCTTTTCTTGAACATATATATCCTTACAATTATACAGTACTTAATTTCTACAACTTTATATTAGCAATATCAATCAAACTAGACTATAGTGAGTGCTTAATACACTTATTAAATGAACCAGTACCCCTATCTGACCACTTCATCCTACATCGATCTGGCTATAGATTTTACTCATCAATATCTATCTCTTCTAAATATTCTTTAGCACCTAATAACACACAACATACCAAACTTATTCTTGAAGATAATGCTGTAAATTACACTTATCCACAATTAGTCAAAACTGTTTTATCTGGTTATAATGATACTGTTATTGCTAATGAACATTTTGGTTTCATACAACTTTATACCTGTTATAACAAATTTTTAGCCTATAACCACCTTCCACTACTCTTACATCTACAAACAATTATTTTAGTTTTGACTATTTACCAAGCAATGCTTGTGACTATACTTTAACCATTTCTATCAAAAATAATTATAGTGAAGCCCATATCTACCTTTCATCAGAACCTAAACCTTTACCCAATCATTTTATTCCACCACTTCAAGCTATTTGGAATTACCCAAACATCTTACTAAAATCATATATAACAGAAGATGATCCTCTCAACTCAACAAATCAAAGTGTCACAACATTAATACCGAACTCACCTTCTACATCTTCAATAACATTTCAACAACCTTCATCCCTTCCTATTTATTCATCACTACTATCTTTACCAAGACTTCATACAAACCACTTATCTGATTTCTCACTCAACTTAAACTTTGCAACTTATAATATCCAAGGCTTTAATAATCCAGAAAAGAAGCTCTTAATGAAAGAATATTGTCTTCAAAATAATCTACATATAATCAATTTAACTGAAACAAAAATTGCAAAAACCAAAAACAAAAAGTTCTATAACAATTATTAATTCTCTTATTACTGGTCAAACTGCTCTATACTTTACAAAAATTTAAAAATTTAAAAATTACAAAATTTAGCAAAATATAAACAAAATAAAATAGTTTATTAGTATTAAATTAGCATTTTTACAAATTTAGTACAAAATTATTGCATTATTAGCACTATTAACTACCTATTTTATTAGTAATTTTTAGCTTTTTATTATTACTAATATTTTGCTAATATATTGCAAATATTAGCATTTTATTATTATAATAATTTGTAAATATTTTTTTATACTAAAATAATAGTAACAAAATACTAAAAAAGTACAAAATTTGGCAAAAATTAGTACTTTATCAGCACTTTTAAAAAGCTAATTTTTAGCAATTCAAATTTTGATAATTTTTGTAAAGTATCCTAGAAAGGGAATATCAATATAGTTTATAGGTAAAGATAATAACTTTATTAAAGAAATAAGGCTATCTGTTAGGTTTCTGTTCCTAAAGAATTCTTTTACACTTTACAGAAGTTACTAACTAAAAGATAGAAAGAAAGGGGTATCTGTGACTTGCTTGACTTAGAAAAATTCTTGAGGTTTATATATCTGTTAACAATTGTTAAAGCTAAGCATCAAAGCTTAATAATTATTAGAGTGAAGCATCAGATGTCAGGTGTCAAATGTTAAGCGTCAAGTGTCAAGCATTAAGCATCAAGCGTCAAGCATCAAGTGTTAAGCATTAAACACTGTATTTGTTCTATCTAATATAACTAAATAATAATAATAACAATAATAACTAATACTAATAATAATAATAATAATAATGCTAACAATTAATAATAAAATATATATTCATAAAACTATATCAAAATATAATAAAAATTTTATTCTATAACATTTCCATCCTCTTAAGAAATTTGCTCTGCAAATTTATCTTCTAAGTCTTTGATCAAGAAAGTAAAAGCTTTGTCTGTAAGCCTTACAACTTGTGTAGCAGCCAAGTATTTTGTCTGATAGATTATAGCTTTTGGTCGAAAAGTGAAAATCTTTTGAATATGATAAACTTCTTTCCAAATGTCTCGAGCTTTGCGAGCACTATTGGTTTCCTGTATTCGTTCTTTAATCTGTTCCTAGTTAGCTTTATTTTCTTGAATAAGAGTTCCTAAATAATAGTAAGCTTCAAGAATTTTAATTTGATTTTTTTTTGACTTGGCATAAGTAGGAAGTTTTTTTAAAATATTGTTAAGTTTTTTCTTTCAAGTTGTTCCTTTAAAAGGTGAGATTTGAAAGGCTTTCTGAGGTTCAAAAGGTTGCATAAGGTCTTTCTTTATTTTCACAAGTGGATTCTGTTCATTTAATTCTTCTTTTATGATAGAAATTGATTTATTAATTGGTTCATCTAAACTTCCAATAAGTTGATCAATTTCATTTAAAGCTGTTTCTTCAAGCTGTAATGAAATATCGATAACTTGGTCTGGTATTTGGTTATCCTATAGTATCACATTTTGGAAGAAAATTTCTAAATTGTATTGAGTGGCAGGGTCTTGCCTCCAAATGGAAATAAAATTTTGTAAGGCCTAAATAGTGTTAGGTTGCAGAATAATAGTATTTATTTTTAAATAGCCAAATTGTTAATTTAGAGAAATTTGCATAATTAGATTGTCTATATATATATTTTAAAGTAATATAAGATTTTTAAAATGTTTTTTATTGTGTCACTCTTTTCCAAATTAAATTTCTTTCAGAAATTTGCTAAGTTTCAATAACAACTATTGGTTTTAAAGTCTGTTTTTTATAATATTTTGCTAATCAGTCACTATTGTAATAGTTTTGTAAGATTTTTCCTTCTTTATTTTATAATTTATAAGCACTATTTTCTAATTTCTTATGAATTATAAATGGTTCAAGTTGTTTATTCTCAAATTTTGCTGATCTTGACATTTCTAATTTCTTTGTTGGATCCATACTTTGTCACCTACTTCAAATTCTTGTACCTTAACTTTTGCATCAAAGTATTGTTTCTGTTTCTGTTGCAACTTATTAGTATTGTTTCTTGCATTCTCTTGCTATTAGGGCAATTTGTCTATTAGCTCATAAGCTCTATATAGAATACTGTCTTGTAAGTTAATATCTTTACTATTTTCTGGTAGTGGTTCAACAAATATTAAAGCTTCAATCAGCAGTGTAGCTTGTCGACTATAAATAAGTTGAAATAGAGCATATTCAGTAGTAGCATGTTTCTTTGTTCGGTATGCTAATAATACAGCAGAGATGTAAATGTCCCAATCATCTGTTCCTTTTACTTTAGCAAGTGATTCACAGAGTGTTCAGTAAAATCTTTCAACCATGCCATTTGTTTGTGGATGATATAGTGATAAGAATTTATATTTAATTAAAAATCTTTCACATAATATACAGATAGTTTCACTAATGAAGTTTCATCCTTGATCTGATAAGATAATTTTTAGGGTTCTATGCCTACAAACTATTTTTTCAAAAATAAATTGTGCTAGTGTAGCAGCACCAGCATCAGGCACAGCTCGGGCTTCTGGCCATCGTGTTAGATATTCAGTAGCAACAATTATATAATGATTATTTTGTTTAGTAAGAGAAAGAAGTCATACTAAATTAATACAATTCATTCAAAGGCTCATTCTATTTGAATAAGATGAAGAGGTTTCTTTCTTTGTCCTTTTTGGCATTGTTGACATTCTGTATAAGTTCAAACATATTCTTGTACATCTCTATATATTTGGTCTTAATAATATCATTCAGCAATCTTATAATACATGGCATCTGTTTCTAAATGTCCGGCCATAGAATGTTTATGCATCATATATAGGATAGGTTCTACTTCAGTCTATTTAATAACTCTAAGGGGATGAGTAGGGTTTTTTCTATTTTTTTTATATAATAGTCCATGCTTTGTTTCGAAATGTCTGGCTTGTCTAATCAATTGTTTTTCTTCTATGTCTGTTAACTCTTTAGATAATGTATCTAATTTTAAATAATTATATAAGTTAATATATTGATCTAAATTCATTAGAATGGTATTAGTAGTGTCTGTGTCAGCAGTCTTGAGAATGTATCTACATTGGAATAAACTCGGCCTGGTTTATGAATAATTTCAAAATTATAAGGTTGTAATTTAAAGATTCATCTTCCAATTCATCCTTTAGGTTCAGTTGTCCTTAATTATTTAAAAGCATAATGGTTAGTAATAAGAATAAACTTTGCAGTTCCTAGGTATTTATGAAAATATTCAATTGCCCAAACTATGGCAGCACATTCTAATTTTTTTTTTTTGAATATCCCTGTTGTCTTAACAACTAGGGGCACAGGTGGCATTCTTTTATTAAAAGTATTATTTGTGACTTAGTTACTTTTCAAATATTTACATATTGCACAAAAAAATTCTGTGCCAGCTTTTGTCGATCATTGTCGATCACCCATCATGTGATAGTACTTGTGATACACA